AAGTAGAAATAATGGGCCATGGCAGGGGGAAGTGGGGGGTGACTCCTGTCTGGACATGTGTCTGGTCATGTGCAGCTCTCAGGGCGAGCCTTGTCTCAGAGGGGGACGGGCCATGTTGGAAGTTCAAGTGCAGACTTTGGTGGAGTTCATCGGAACAGGGTCATCCAGGCCTCAGCACCCAAGGATGAGGCTGGAAATAAGGAATGGGGCCCAGGCCCGAGGGAATAGGGCTGTAACAAAGTAGACAGGAAATCCCTGGGTCACAGAACCCACCCTCACCCCATAGGTGAATGGGCTAGAGAACACTGGGAACCAAAGATCCCTAGAAAGAAAAAGGTGGCATCCTCAGAGGGTCAGAGACCTACTACTGTCCAGCATCCTCAACTCCTGGGAAAAGAAACCACGGCAATTCCTAAAATGCCTTTGCACTCTCACCATCCCCGCCGCTGTATCCTCGCACCAACGCACATGCCAGTTAGCAGGGCTCAGGACCCAGCCCCTGTCTGCTGGCTTGGTTGCAGGGGAGGGGAGTTATCCAGAACCTGGACAGGGATAGGTTGCCTGACTGAGAGGTTCCAGAGGGCAGATTACCTGCCAGGGTCAGGAGACCCTGGTTCCCTGTGCTGTGATAACAGCAGATGTCCTCACCAGGTTATTGTGAACATTCCATCTGGCTCCAGTCATATTTTGAAATATCTCCCTCCTTCTGGAAGGGGCTGTCCTTTTTATCCTGCTCACATGTGGGAGGCCCCAGCGTTCAGTGGTGGCTCACTCGTCAGAGCCCACAGAGTTCCTCACCCACTGCACTTGCTCTGTCTAAAATAGCGATGTGGAAACTCCTTTCCCCTAGGGGTGGCACGTTTTTCTTTTTTAGTCATCAAATCATTTGTGCGGCGTCACCCCAAATACATGCTCTACTATCGATAAGAGCCTAGCCAACCTAAGCAGGTCAGCCTCCCATTCCATTCTTCAGCTCACCCCGCACCCCACTGTCCCCTTGGATGTGATACACAGCGTGTGAAAGCTGAGCCTAGAACGGGGGCGGAGGGAGGTGCTCTCTAGAAGGTGAACGGAATTCCTATCTAACACATGATTTGCATGAATTTCTTTCTTCTCCAGCTTTATTGAGATATAATTGACATATAACATTGTGTGAGTTTCAGGTGTACAATGTGATGACTTGATGCACATATATATTGTGAAATGACTCCCATGATAAGGTTAGTGATCACATCCTTCACCTCTCATAATTTCCGCTTTGTTGTTATTGTTATGGTGAGAGCATTTGAGACTTTTCTCTCTTAGCAACTTGCAAGTAGACCATAGCAGTTCCCAACCTTTTTGGCACCAGGGACTGGTTTCACGGAAGACAGCTTTTCCACTGACAGGGGTTGGTGGCGGGGGATGGTTCGGGCGGTAATGCGGTCGACGGGGAGTGACGGGGAGCGGCAGGTGAAGCTTCACTCACTAGCCTGCCACTTACCTCCTGCTGTGCGGCCTGGTTCCCAACAGGCCAGAGACTGGTACCAGTCCACGGCCCAGGGGTTGAGGACCCCTGCCGTACAGTATTATTAACTATAGTTGCCATGATGTACATTATGTCTCCAGAACTTTTTCCTCTTAGGACCTCTTTTCCCTCTTTGACCACATTTACCCATTTCCTCCACCCCCAACTCCTGGCAACCACCAATCTACTCTCTGTTTCTAGCAGTTCCCCCCTTTTTATATTTCACTTACAAGTGAGATCATACAGTATTCGTCTTTCTCTGTCTGACTTATTCTCTTATTGCAACACCCTCAAGTTTCATCTGTGTTGTCACAAAATGCAGGATTTCCTTCTTTTTTATGGTTGAATGATATTCCATTGTATAGATATATTTTCTTTTTTTTAAATGGAGGTAATATTGGCTTATAACATTATATAAGTTTTAATGTGTGTATGAAGAAGAAAGGCTGCTTAGGGATTTCTTGATCAGGGTCCACATGCCCCAGCAATTTAAACGCAGCAGAGGCTGGAGTCACAAACATTCAAGACCTTTGTCTAGAGTTTCAGTCTGCTTGGGTCATTAGTTGTTCAACCCCCATCTTGTTCCACAGCAAAAAGACCTGGAAGACATTCCGCTTCAACCAGAGACAGGCTCAGGGAAGTCTCTGACCAAAGCAAAGACCCAAAGTAAGCAAAGTAGTTGCCCCAGCAGTTGAGAAGGTCCCTACACCAGCCTCACCAAAAGGAGTTTCAGGACTGGGGATTTTCATACATTGGCCAGATGTTCTTTTCCAGGGCTATTTGTACCAAACAGCCAAAGAATTTTGGACCCCCAAAATTTGACTAGACCTGGATACTGTCTGGAAAAAATTGTTGGGTCCTGAGTTGGGGCAGAGGGAGGGTTTTGATGAAATAGAAAGCTAGAGGGAAGCAATGGAGAGGGTGGTAGATTTTCTGAGTGTGCCCTTGTTTGTTTCTTGGCAGGTTTTGGCTGGTGATTAAGGAAGATGGACACATGGTGACTGCCCGGCAGGAGCCTCGCCTTGTGCTGGTCTCCACTACCTGTGAGGATGATTGCCTTATCCTCAGGGCACCAGGCATGGACCAGCTGGTTTTGCCGAGCAAGCCACATTCTTCAAACAAGATCCATGACTGCAGGTGCTCTGCTTGGGGGCCTCTGGGGATCTGTGACAATTGATTCCCCTTTAGGCTCCACTCTGCCTTGCTACCCTTTGCATGCTAGATGATGAGACTGGTAAAGGAAATATTTAAGAGAAGTCTAGTCTAGGTTGGGATCAAGCCAGTGGTCAGGTATGAGTGGGTGAAGCAGAATATTGCATTAAGGTTATTTAGATTTGCTTTCATCAGATATGGCAAGACATGCAGATACAGAAATGACTGTCATGAAGAAAGAAGTTTTTTATATTCACAGATCCCTAGAAACAGGAGGCTCATATCGTGCAGGGCCACATGGGGAAATACCAGGTCGGTAAGGAGGCAGAGAGGGCAGGGGAAAATGTGGACACGAGTCTTTATTCTGGTTTCTACAGGCTCTGGGAAAATTGGCTCTGGGGCAGATGGGCTGTCCCTAGTTTTCTGGTACCTGGTCCTGGGTGATTAGAGCAGGGGACAGTGGCCAGGGTATAAAAGCACAATGGACAAGGGGTGAGGGCTCTGGATTGGCTGGTTTGCCTATGAAAGCTTAGTGTTTTACCATCTCTAGGAATTGACTAGCCCTGGGAGGGGTAGTTCCTTCAGCATCACCAAGTCCCAAGATGTCAAAGCATCAAAAATATAAAAAGTAAGAAGTCATGATGAATACAAATATAGAGAGGATACAAAGGGCCAATCTGTAGGGTTTGTCTCCTTTTATTCAAGTAGGATGGACTTCTATTCGGAATTGCCAGGCAAGCAAGGGCATTAGTGGAGACGTTACCACCTGTATCTCCTGATTGGAGATTGTGTTCCATCTGATTGGAATTGTATTGAACTGAACTTGAGGCTCAATTAGAGAAAATTGAAATGAATTTATATATTTATTTATTTATTTCAACTGTGCCTGGTTCATCTCAGGCACTTAAATAAATGTTAGTGCTTACATAGTTAATATCATCTTTGTTGCATAGAGCCTCCCTATCCATGAACGTGTTATCTTTCCCCACTTATTTATATCTTTTTCTTCCCCATTTATTTATTTATTTATTTATTTATCTGGCTGCATTGGGTCTTCGTTGCTGCGCGGGGGCTTTCTCTAGTTGCGGTGAGCGGGGGCTACTCTTTGTTGCGGTGTGTGGGCTTCTCACTGTGGGGGCTTCTCTTGTTGCAGAGCATGGCCTCTGGGCGTGCAGGCTTCAGTAGTTGTAGCACGCAGGTTCAGTAGTTGTGGCTCGCGGGCTCTAGAGCGCAGACTCAGTATTTGTGGTTCATGGGTTTATTTGCTCCACGGCATGTGGGATCTTCCCAGACCAGGGTTCGACCCCCGTGTCCCCCACATTTGCAGTTGGATTCTTATCCACTGTGCCACCAGCAATGTCTCTATTTATATCTCTTTTTTTTTAATGACTAATTTACTGAATTGCAGGCTTTTCGTTTCTTTTTTTTTTTTTTCAAGCTTTTTATTGAAACCGTTTTCAGCTTGTTAGGAAGAAACATCTTAGTTTCAGATAGAAGTGGCCCACACAATTGCAAGTTTTTACCTTAAACTGTTTCAGACAGGAACTTTTTAATTAATTTATTTTGGCTGTGTTGGGTCTTTGTTGCTGTGCATGGGCTTTCTCTAGTTGCAGCGAGTGGGGGCTACTCTTTGTTGCGGTGTGTGGGCTGCTCACTGCGGTAGCTTCTCTTGTTGCAGAGCATGGGCTCTGGGTGCGCGGGCTTCAGTAGTTGTAGCATGCAGGTTCAGTAGTTGGGGCTTGCGGGCTCTAGAGCACAGGCTCAGTATTTGTGGTGCATGGGCTTAGTTGCTCCGTGGCATGTGGGATCTTCCCGGACCAGGGAATGAACCCGTGTCCCCTGCAATGGCAGGTGGATTCTTAACCACTGCGCCACCAGGGAAGCCCCTACCCACTTATTTATATCTTATTTTACTTCTTTAAAAAGTTTTATACCCAATGAAAAAATGGGCAGAAGACCTAAATAGACATTTCTCCAAAGAAAACATACAGATGGCCAAGAGGCACATGAAAAGCTGCTCAACATCACTAATTATTAGAGAAATGCAAATCAAAACTACAATGAGGTATCACCTCACACGGGTTGGAATGGGCATCATCAGAAAATCTACAGACAACAAATGCTGGAGAGGGTGTGGGGAAAAGTGCAAATTCCTCTTGCACTGTTGGTGGAAATGTAAATTGATACAGCCACTATGGAGAACAGTATGGAGGTTCCTTAAAAAACTAAAAATAGAACTACCATATGACCCAGCAATCCCACTACTGGGCATATACCCAGAGAAAACCAAAATTCAAAGACACTTGCACCCCAATCTTCATTGCAGCACTATTTACAATAGTCAGGTCATGGAAGCAACCTAAATGCCCATCTACAGATGAATGGATAAAGAAGATGTGGTACATATACACAATGGAATATTACTCAGCCTAGACCTGGAACGAAATTGGGTCTTTTGTAGAGATGTGGATGGACCTAGAGAGTGTCATACAGAGTGAAGTAAGTCAGAAAGAGGAAAACGAATATAGAATATTAACCATATATGTGGAATCTAGAAAAATGGTACCCATGAACCGGTTTGCAAGACAGAAATGGAGACACAGATGTAGAGAACAAACGTACGGACACCAAGGGGGAAAGCAGGGTGGGGTAGGGTGGTGGTGGGATGAATTGGGAGATTGGGATTGACATATATACACTAATATGTATAAAATAGATAACTAATAAGAACCTGCTGTATAAAAAATAAAATAAAATTCAAAAATTAAAAAAAAAGTTTTATAATTTTCTCTATAATAGAATTGTACATCTTTTGTTAGATTTAGTCCTAGACATCTTAACTTTTTGTTCCTATTTTAGATGACAATTAAAATTTTTTTTCTGTTTAACTTTGGTAGTATTTATTCTTCAATCATTGGTGGAAATTTCCAGTAAAACTGCCTGGATTTTCTTTATAAAAATCCATTCAAACTTTTATGTCTTCTTAAGTATTTTTAGTAAGTTATTTTGCTTCATGAATTAGTAGATTACTAACTAATGTTAGTTCTATTGTACTCACACATGGAGATTCCGTTTTTTTCTATGGGGTGTTGATAATGGAACACTTTGTATCAGAATGTGGAGGAAAGTACTTTGCATAAAATTCTGAGAGAACTTTTTTTTCTTTTTTGGCCACATCGCATATCTTATGACATCTTAGTTCCCTGACCAGGGATCGAACCTGGGCCCACGGCAGTGAAAGTGCTGAGTCCTAACCACTGGACTGCCAGGGAATTCCCAAATTCTGAGAGAATTGAAGAAATTGGAATGGCAGAGGGATAGAGTCTGCTGCAGGGGTGGGAGGGAGGAAGGATTAGGGGAGGGATATGTTTCAGGAGTGGGAAGGGGCACTGGATAATCAGTTTTCCCTTGCCCCACTGGGTGCTTTCTACTTTTCAAAGTGCCCACACTAAGCTTATCTGAGTGGATGGAAGCTGAGGGTAGGAGTGTTGTGCACTTATACACGAGGGCCGTGGTGAAGGGGTTGAGGGAAGTGCTCAGCCCAGGAACAGATACTTAAGGAGCTGATGAACGGTGGAATCAGATCTGTGTGAAATAGTAGACTGGTTGGTTGAGGAGAGGTTTAGGCGAAAGGCTGAAGGCTCTGAGAGAGAGAGGACCATGAGACGGCAGGGGGACCGAGGCCAAACAGCAGCTCCAAGAAGGGGGTCTAGAGAGAAGGAAAAGGCCAAGAAACATCAAAAGAACAGCACGGAGATTTGACAGTAGGTGGGCTAGGTTGTCAGAGAATGAGGCGTGTGTAGCAGTCAGACCAGGACTGTGGGCCTCGGGGTCCACAGTCCACCTTGGATTCCCTCACATACATCACCCCAGGAGCCTTCAAGCTGGGAGAAGCACTCACACAGAGAGGTGCAAACACTTCCTGTGGTACCTGAGGGCGGGTAAGGGAATCAATTTCCAGATCTTCAAATCCCATAGGTTCTCCCTCCAACAGTGATCTTAGCTGCAGGGGGCAAGTTCTCCTCAGCACCTCCCTTAGTACAGATGAAAGGCTTGCCCTCCCCATGTCTTAGTAGAGAGCACTGCTCTGGGAGGGGAAAACCTTTGGGGCCCAAACAATAAAATATACTGGTGTTGATAAAGGAGAATGCCCCCTGTGATGGGGTAAAGTCATTCTACAAGACAGTGGTTCAAAGTCTTTGTCTTACGCTAAGATTAAGGCGCTTCTAATCAAATTTGCTGATAAATTATTTAAAAAGACTTTTTGATGAATGATTATTAAGTGCCAAAGATCACAGAAGGGTTCAAAGGATGAGTGAAATTATTTTAACTCAAGTTCTTCCATTCCATCTATTAACACAGTGCATCCTTAGAGTTCTCATTATAAGGAAAAAAAACTTAAAAAAAATATGAGATGATGACTGCTGACTAAACTTGTAATCATTTCACAATATATGTAAGTCAAGTCGTTATGCTTTACACCCTAAACTTATGTATGTCAATTATGTCTCAATAAAACTGGGAAAAAAAGTTAAAAATAATTTTTTAAATGTGGACCATAAAAGAAGCCCTTAATCATTTATTTTAAAAAAAGATTGTTTTTAAAAATAGATATCAAGCTAGCCTGGCATTGGGATTCCATTGCATGCTTTTAAAAGCATAATTTTATTTTATTTTATATAATTTATATATATTTATAATACTAAGACATAATATATAAATTATGATATAATTTTATTTTAAATGTTAATATTTATAATTCAATGGAAATTTAATCTTTCATAACAAATTAAACTTATAAAAAACATGGACAGACCCAGAGAATATCATACTAAGTGAAGTAAGACAGAGAAAGACAAATATTATATGCTAACATGTATGTGTGAAATCTAAAAAATAATACAAAGAAATCTATATACAAAACAGAAACAGATTCACAGACATAGAAAACAAACATTGTTACCAAAGGGGAAAGTGAGGGGGAGGGGGAAAAATTAGGAGCGTGGGATTAATAGATACAAACTATGGTACATAAAATCGATAAGCAACAAAGATTTACTGTACAGCACAGGGAACTATATTCAATATCTTGTATAGGGACTTCCCTGGTGGTCCAGCGGTAAAGAATCTGCCTTACAATGCAGGGGACTCGGGTTCAATCCCTGGTCAGGGAACTAAGATCCCACATGTCACAGGGCAACTAAGCCTGTGCGCCACAGCTACTGAGGTCACGCGTGCTGGAGCCTGCGCGCCACCACTAGAGAAGAAAACACCCACGCGCCACAACTAGAGAGGAGCCCACGCACCACAACGCAACTAAGACCCGAGGTAGCCAAAAATAAAATAATAAATTAAATAAATAAATAATAAATAAATCTTAAAAAAAAATTGTATAAACTATAATGGAAAATAATCTGAAAAAGTATATATAAAACGGAATCACTTGCTGCACATCTGAAACTAACACAATATTATCAATCAACTATATTTCAACTTAAAAAAAAGAAAAAAGTTTACATGCCAACTTGTAATTCTGGGAGGGGTACATAGCTTTTATCTTTTGGGGGCATTCAAGCAAAAAATCCTTGAAGACCACTTTGTTATCTTGTGGAGTCTGTGTCCACCGTGTGAGGCAGGTGGTATATTATTATCTCCAATTTACAACTGGAGACAGAAGGTCAGAGGAATTTAATGATTTGCTAAAAGTCACAGACTAGTGATGGCAGAGTTCCATTTTTTTTTTTTTTTTTTTT